TCTAAATTTTTTATGTGTATCAGGGACACTGATAGCATCAATTTATACCATTCCAATTTTCAATCGGATGTCTGCAATTCCACTAAAACTAAATTTTTGCAAAATATGCTTTATTCACGATTAGTGACATCATCAAACACTTAGTTTTAGTAGAATTGCAGGAACCACAGTCATCTGATTGAAAATTAGAATGGTGCAAATTGATACTATCAGTGTCCCTGATACACATAAGTGAGATTTTTGATTGACTGAAAATTTCTTGGGTTGGAATTCCAGATTTACTTTTCTCTCTCTGTTTAGAATAATTGTTACTGGTTAGTTGCAAGTTAAAAATAAAATGTTCAACTGTTCATATCTTAGTTTTTTGAATTACCAGCTGATAGAGCTCAATTTTAGCTATCTGTATAGTCATCTAAATATTTACTTTATCAGCTGATAGAGCTCAATTTTAGCTATCTGTATAGTCATCTAAATATTTACTTTATCAGCTGATAGAGCTCAATTTTAGCTATCTGTATAGTCATCTAAATATTTACTTTATCAGCTGATAGAGCTCAATTTTAGCTATCTGTATAGTCATCTAAATATTTACTTTATCAGCTGATAGAGCTCAATTTCAGCTGATAGAGCTCAATTTCAGCTGTCTGTATGGTTGTCTGAATATTTACTTTACCAGCTGATAGAGCTCAATTTCAGCTGTCTGTATAGTTGTCTAAATATTTTCTTTACCAGCTGATAGAGCTCAATTTCAGCTATCTGTATAGTCATCTAAATATTTACTTTATCAGCTGATAGAGCTCAATTTTAGCTATCTGTATAGTCATCTATATATTTACTTTACCAGCTGATTGAGCTCAATTCCAGCTATCTGTATAGTCATCTAAATATTTACTTTACCAGCTGATAGAGCTCAATTTCAGCTGTCTGTATGGTTGTCTGAATATTTACTTTACCAGCTGATAGAGCTCAATTTCAGCTATCTATATAGTCATCTAAATATTTGCTTTACCAGCTGATAGAGCTCAATTTCAGCTATCTGTATAGTCATCTAAATATTTACTTTACCAGCTGATAGAGCTCGATTTCAGCTATCTGTATAGTCATCTAAATATTTACTTTACCAGCTGATAGAGCTTGATTTCAGCTATCTGTATAGTCATCTAAATATTTACTTTACCAGTTGATAGAGCTCAAATTATCATTGAACATAAAACCAGTCTGAAAAATACTTGAATTTACTAAAAAATTTATTTCCTTAATTATATGTAACTAATAACAATAACAAAATAACAACTGAATATATGTTACTGGTACTAAATATATAAAGGAATAACAGAGAATTTATAAGGAATAACATAATTATAACAAATAATAAATGTGTGTATAACCGAAACCTTGTAAATAATAACAACTAAAATTTATAAAAAGAATAACAACTGAATTATATAAAAGATAACAACTGAATTATATAAAAGATAACAACTGAATTGTATTAAAGATAACAACTGAATTATATAAAAGAATAACAACTGAATTATATAGAAGATAACAACTGAATTATATTAAAGATAACTGAATTATATAAAAGATAACTGAATTATATAAAAGATAACAACTGAATTATATTAAAGAATAACAACTGAAGGTTTGTGGCAACCACCATGTTCATCATGATTTTCATAATTTTTTGAGTTACTTCGTGAATTTTGATTGTTGATTGGCTCATTCTTATTCCGGGTGACATTAACTGGTTCTAGTTTATGATTTTGATTCTTTGATTGGTTCATTCTTTTTCTGGCTGACATTAACTGGATTTAGTTTATGATTTTGATTCTTTGATTGACTCATTCTTATTCTGGTTGACATTAACTGGTTTTAGTTTATGATTTCAATTCTTTGATTGGCTCATTCTTATTCAGGTTGACATTAACTGGTTTTAGTTTATGATTTTTGTTCTTCGATTGGTTCATTCTTATTCTGGTTTAAACATATACACAGGTTCTGCTGTGTAGCTTTCAGAAGCGGTTTGTGAATTTTGATTGCTGATTAGCTCATTCTCATTCTGGTTGACATAAACCAATTCTGGTGAAGCATGAACCGAATCTGGATCTGGTGTCAGTTCTCTCTCGTGTCTTGTGTCACTGAATTTAACTGATTTTGGTGTGTTGATTCTGTATTCGAAAGGATCTGAAATGATAAAATGTCGTCAAGAAGTCATACTTGTTTGGTTGAATCTATCGTTGCATGAGCATGANACATTGAAACAAGTAGGACCAACGAGCAGGAGTGAGCTTGGCAAAG